CTTTCCAACTGCCTCGGAGTCCCAAAGGGCTTTGTCCAAACCGAGAGCTTTGGCGTTGCTTGGCAACCTTCACCCTTTCCGGGCCCTGCGTGGGACTGGAGAGGAGATTTCGCATGCTTCCCATCTGCCGCCACCGGTGCGGCGGCGCCGAAAAAGGAAGGCCAGGAGCCCCGAACGTCGTAGCGTTCTTGTTACTACTAGCAAGGCACTTGTTACGAACGTAGCGATGCACTTGTTTCTAATAGCGTTCTTGTTCCTATTGTATAAAAAAGATGTCCTTGGTGTTGCAAAGTCCTGATTTGAGATGCTTGCTTGGGTTGTGCTGCCGGCTTTTGTGCGCCAAAGGCTTGGCCCAAAGGAAAGATTGGCCAGCACTGTTTCCTGAGTCGAACGGCCATGTTTCAAGCAATGCCTCCCCCCCAAAAATGATCCTCTTCAAGTGTTGCACCTCGAGTTGGACCTCTGGTAGCAACCATGACCTTCCACACACACCAAACGATGATCTAATTAGTAACAGGTGCATCGCTACTAGTAACAAGAAGCTACTAGTAGCAAAGGGCATTACTACTAGGAACAGGAAGCTACTAGTAGCAAAGATTTAGATCATTTAAAAGCTACTAGGAACAAGTGCATCGCTTCTAGTAACAAAGGGCCTTACTAGTAGTAACTACTAGTAACAAGTGCTTCATAGATTCTTGTTACTAGTAGTAAGGCACTTGTTACTAATAGCGATGCACTTGTTACTACTAGTAAGGCATTTGTTAGTAGTAACAGCGGACGCTACTAGATTCCTCCATCTGCTTCAGATCACCAGGAGCCCCTCACGGGTGGCTCGGGCGGCGTCTTGTCCACGACCACCTTGAGGCTGGGAGCGCTGTCCAAGCGTCTGGGTGGTGTCCGCTTCTGTTGGGATGGTTCCCAGTCTTCAACTGTTCAACATGGGGCTAGATGGGGCGGCTACGCCTGCTGCGCCAGCTACCAGCAAAATTCGATAGATGAAGTGGATTAAGCATGCAGGGGGGTTCTCAGGATAAGTGCTGGAGTCAATGGAGTCAGTGGAAGCGGACAAATATCCGTCCATTGCTCAAAATGAATGCTGACAATCATTCACAACCTTTGGGTTGGACACAACAAGCCCCCTATGTGGTTTGCTGGAAAACCAAGCGATACCTTTGACAAAAATGTATAAGGTCATCAACTTGCAAAACCTATCGCACGAGTGGAGGACCAATCTCACGGTCTAGTGCTTTGTTTCTTTTTTTATTACTAGTTTACAGTGAAATATATTCACCATATGATACTTGATTTGTTGATCTTTTCATATTTTCATTGGCACTTTTTCAGTTCATGTATGATCTTCCCGGGTACCAATGACCTTTGCAGGACTTGGTCAACAGGATGTCAAAGAGATGTTCTCTCTGGTTCTTTACACAAAGAGGTTGCGATTCTATCTCGCGGGGCCTGCCATTGGGCCTGTCGTACATCTCTTGCTTCAACAAAATGCCGCGAAATCTCGCACAGCGGCGCCGCGAAGTTCTCGCCTGCTTGGGCGCAGGTATTTGAGCAGGCCTTGGATGCTGCAGAAGGGAGAAACATGTCTTCACACCTGGAAAAAGAGTTGGGAAAGAAGCGAAGAAAAAGGCAACACAAACCTGCTAGGCTGTTCTTTGAGGGATCAAAAAAGAAACCTTCATGTCCTTCATGGGCTTGTCATGTACCTTAGGCCTTAGGTCAAGCGCCGCACCTTAGCCTTAGACCCATGGATCTCAACCAGGTTTTGTGTTTTCTGAGCCCAACAGTTCTGAGCGCCCCAGACATGGCAGAACTGCTGTCGCTGCTGGCCGTTCGGCTGCGCTCGCTGCGCGTGCGCCCGCGGCCCTTCGTCGTCCTCAGGGCGGTCGACCGCCAGGCTTCCCCAAGAAAGAGCTGGCTTCATGTGTTCAGAAAAAATGAAACGACACTTCTGGCAGCTGCAGATTTTGGGAATGAGTCTCGGAATGAGTGTGGAATCGGCAGATTCTCTCATTCCGAATAGAGAATGTGAACATAATAACCACCCAGAAGATACCTTCAGGGATCCAGTACCTTACCTCAGGTTAGGTGAGGAAGGAGACAGTGTGACGTAGCTGCCCGAACTCGGGTCCAGTCGTACCTTCTCCTGAGGTACCTGAGGTTCAGTACGACTGGATTCTTAGGGCACATGGTCGGCATCTGCTAAATCCGATCTTTGAAGCTAGAGCATGGCATTTAAACTGCTTCAAGACCATGGACAGTGTGAGTTTGGGATTAGTCATCCTCAAGCAGAAAAGAACACCATAAAGGAATGGCGGGCAGCTGTAGCGGCTTGCGAGGTTGGGGCGGCTTGCGCTAGTCTGCACTAGAGTAGTTTGTCTCCAGTCAGAGAACAGATTGGACTTACAATATTCAATGGGACATATTATGAGCAACAGCAAACCTGTTGTACTGGTATGTGGTGAAGGGCATCCCTCGTACAATCCCACTCTTCACTTTGCTGGCCATGTTCTTATCTCACACGCTATATTCACTCACATCTGCCATAGTGGTCAGTGGATTTGCTCTGCATATTGAGGCCAACAATTCTCCACTAGGGAGGATGAGTCGAAGACTCAAAAGGTGAATGCTGAGTTCCTGCGCAATGCGCTTGTGAGTCTCCCAAGCTGAATCCTGCACAAGTGCCTCCAAACGTAACGCTTCATGCCCAGCCAGATCCAAGCAGGTTAGCACGATTGCATCATCTTCACGAACACAAAATAGTTGGAAAACAAGGTCTCTCGCAAATGAGGCGATGTAGCAGTTCCCAGGCTGCGGAAGTGGAACATTGCATTGTCCATCGAGGTTGTTTCCACAAGCCACAGCATTGCCATCATTTCAAAGTAGCACAGTATGAAATCCGCCTGCAGATACTTGAGTGTATGACATT